GCCAAACAAAAAGGAGAAAACTCCCTGAATATGGCTACAGGAGAGTGATGGAGTGGAAGCTACCATAGGCGTAGGAGATAAATGAATGTGGTAAAGGTGGCCCATTTGGAGGAGTGGGCTGTTCCCACAGTACACATTAGAATGAAGGAAAGGGAAAGTCTCATGGAACATGAAGGATGTTGTATGCCAAAAAAGGGAGATCAAGCATTAACTGGGAAAATAATAGAAGATTCCCTGTTTTCTGGGAAAAGATCTCCTTGCTTCCAGTTGTGCAATGGAATACAGATTAGGCTTTCATGATATTAAAATGAAAATAATTAATAGTATCTTTTTATGGCAATTATAGTATATATGCCATGATATCCATACCAAGTATAGAGAATTTTCAAAAGAAATTAATTTAAAAGTCAGGATGACACCTACCACTGGAATTTCTTTCCTCCTTACTTCCCATTTCTCTAGCTAGCCAGCATGTTGCCTTGCAAGGCACTCACTACTCTGTTTATATTGTTTCATGAACTAATTACTGTGTTATACTGCCCAGTATTTTATTGAGGGCAGAGCGAGGCAAACAGCAATAAACAATGACAGAAAACAATAATGTTGCTTTCCATTTTACTGTCCATACATTCAGTTCTTCCATTACTTCTGGGTAAAAAAGGACTTAGATTAAACTTCAAGAAGTTCACTTGTCTGATTCCCCTAAAAAAATGAACTGTCCTAACACAAAGGAAGCACTACAAAAGATAAATTGCACATGATCAGGAAAAAATTTATAGCAAGAACTAGACTCACATGAAATGACTATGGAACCCAAGGAAGCAAAATAAAAGCCTTTCATACAGGAAAATTTAGATTAAAGTTCAGAAAATATCTTGACAGAGAGATTTAGCTATAAATCTGCCTCTTATCAGATTAGGTGGAAACACTTATTTGATTGGTGTAATACTACACTGAAGAAAATAAAATATATTGTACAAACAATCCTGCATGGGCAGAGTGGTAGAAAACATGAACTAATTAAAGTCTTCAATCTAATAGATCTTTCTACCTCTATTCCTTTTATATGCTCTCTTCCTGCTCCCCCCACCCCTCCCAAATCCAGCCTCATGCTTGAATGAAAAGTTCTGGGATGCATCAAGAAGTTGTAATTGTTTACCTCCTTAGAAGTGATAGGGAAACATTAATAAGTAATATTAGTTTATCTGTAATGGAAATAACCTTATGATAATCAGCTGCAGCTAAATTAACTGAAAAACCATATTCGCCTCTGAACTTATCAATTTCTGTTTCCTAGTGGCCCATCTGAGGCTAGCAGTTTACTCCTACAACTCTTGTGTGTTTATACACAAGCTTGGGGAAGGGGAGGAGGGGGTGAGGTGCTTTAATTAGAGCGGCTCCAAGAGCCACCCTAACTAAAGTGCCTGGAGTGTCTCATGTATCAACGTCCCCGTGCTTAAAAATGGCAGCAGGGGCATTTTAATTAAAGCTTGTTTGACAAGCTTTAAAGCACCCCCACCATTTTTAAGCGTGGGAACGCTGATACACAAGACCCTGGAGTCTGCTGGAGCATTGGAGCAGAATTGCTGCTCGTGTATAGGGACCCTCTAATTACTATGATTAGTTCAAAAGAAAAAACTGATACACTTCAGAAATGCATTGCCATAAAAAAGATCTTCCTGATGGAGATATTTAGAATGTCTGTCACAACATGTAGTGACTTACTATTTACATAAAGTAAACACTGGTAACTCAGGGTAACTACTGAGTTTTTGTCCTTGCATTTGTCAACCATCTTGATATTGAGTTTGAACAGAATCAACATCTGTAATGTGATCTTCATTTCTATTCCTGCCCCTTCATACTGGATAAAAGGTTCCAGAACAGCATAGAGAAACTCTCTACTGCCACCAACTCATGCAGGGCAGAGAATTCTCTTGGCTACAGGCATTAGAAAAGGCTACTGCATGCCCTCCACAAGCTGTATGTGTTTACCTAAATTATTTCACCCACATATAGTAGATGAAATCATGAAAAAGCAGAATAAAGCAAAGACAAGTAATACCATTTCCTGCACAATGTTGAAAACTGGAAACTAAAGCAATATAATGAGAAAAAAATCTGATGTGTTTATTTTTAAGTGAAAGACATAAGAAAATAACTTTGCCCTATTTATACATGCAAAATTTGGATCTTCCAGCTCCACCCAAAATATGAGAAAGGAGACTATGGAAGATGCAGGTTAAATATCAGTTTTATTGAGCATTCACTAGCAGCATATGTGCAAATAGGAGTAACTGACCACATTCTGATCTCGATTAGGCTGAAGTAATCCAAATTAATTTGATTAAATTCAGATCAGTTTTCAGATTAATACTGGTATGACTGAAATCAGACTCTGTCCTGGAGAAAGTAAACATAAAAAATAACGTGATGTAATGAATGGTTCAGATAAGAAAAAAAATCAGCAGTCTTGTGTGGTGCTTGTGTTTATGGTAGATAAAACAACCTAGTGAAAGGCCAAGACAAGGCCTACTACACACCTTTTGTTTTGCATAATCTCCTGGTGGCAAGGCTTTGACCTGGCCTGATGTACTGACTTTCACAAAGTAAGAGGATTAGCAAAATTGTTTTTATACTATGCTAGAGTATGTAAACATGTATTAAGAAGCAAATCAGAACCCTTACAGGATTTACCAGATCAAACTGAAGCAAACTACTGAGACTTAAAACTTACCAATTCCTTGCTTATTTGAGCCTGTCCCAAGAAGCTGGTTGGTACTTGATTTACACCATCCATTCAGTCATGGTATTGTGTAGCAATTACAGTTGTTTGGGTTATTTTTTTTTAAAGAATAACAGATTAATAAATATATTAAGTTATCTATACATTAGAGTTAACATGCTGATTAATCTTTTGTCTCTGTTACCTTAAAATTAATTGCATTCATTTCAGAGGGTAATACTGGAATTAATTTGCAGTAGGTACTGTACAAAGCTCCATGTGCTTATGTTATTTGGCATGTTTTTACCAGCACAAGCCTACATAATTGCTAAGACAATACTCACTGTTTCCTATGCTTTATCAACATTGATAAGTCAAACTAATGCTAAGTAATTTAGTGTTATTGTGATTGGCTAATTATGGAGATGACATTGACGTGCAGTGCTTCGAAGTAGTGTAACAGCATTTCCAGTTTGCATCTGTTCATTCCTATTTGCCACATGAAAAGAGAAATAACTAGGATTCGGGCATTTGGTTGATTCAAGTTGAGTGGTGATATCTTAACTTACCGCTAAAGTTTTTTTTCCAACACTGCTTTTTCCCAGCTACTTATTTTAAAATGGTATTTGATAAAAATAGCTATTTTATATATTCTGCTAAATATTAGTTATGCTGTTTATACTACTGTTTCAGCAATAAAAAAGTCATTATGTTAAATCTTCATTATGGTCTTGCATTTATTCTTGATTATCTACAGGCCTCTGATACAAATAAACATGCTTTATAGATAAACTAGTTAAATCTATAAAAAGCATATTAAAACTGTTTTCAAAACTTTATTTTTGGCACAATTCAAATCAAATCAGAATCTTTATGAAGCCTCAGGCTTCATTTTTCATGTAACAATATATTAGTACAATGCTAACTAAATTGTCTGATATATACGCACTTGTATTTCAATTCTTGATCTCAGAAGGTGTTAATTGGGCAAATACACACATTTAAATCCATGGTTCATTTTTGTGAGATGGGGATTGGAAAATCCCAAACTCTATTAAACTTCTTACCTGGTGATGAAACAAAATGGCTAGAAAATGCCTTCACTATCAGCTTCTTTTCATACAACTGTAATGAAAATGATAAGAAATATGTGTTCTGTGCTATGCAGAGAATTTGAGGTGAGCTGAGGTAATTTACAAATGAAATGTCCTGAGATCAAGAATTAATTTAATCTCCTCCAAAGGTAACTGCAATACATCCCCTCTTTGAGACTACGTATTCAAAGAATCCATCTAAAAATACTAATAAAAACAAAAAAATTAAATGAACACTTTTGAAATCCCTTTGAACCAACCTATCCTTCTCCAAACAAATGAATGCCCAAAATAAATGATCTAAAAACTGGTTTTGCAACACAAATAGGGCAAAATTGGAAAGTCTAAGTAATAGAGTTTTATAAACTGTTAAAAATTCCATAGGGACTAGTCTGCAAGTCTCCAGAACAGGTAACAATGAGAAGTTAGGTTATTTTAGCTGCTTTATCATCCAGCAGGGTGTGGCCTGATAAGAACAAGTAGTAAGAAGGAATGTATTAAGACAACAGGTTAGTCATGATTCTCTCATATACGAGGTTGCCAACTGTAGTAATGTAAAATTAAATAAAAAGTTGAATGGATGGTTTAGAGTAAAGAGACCTTTAAACTCATTTTGGGAATTTCTGGGACTGGCGTAAGTGAAACAGGAAATATGATGACATTATTATCAACTGTTTAATGTGAAATTCTGGTACCTTTGGGGGAGGAATTGCATATGGGTTGATTGTATTACTGTAATTTTTGTTCTGTAAAGAAACACATGAGTAGGTTTTTATGCATGGGATTCTCCTCATATGCATGACCCTCTGAATGGCTAGTGTGGAGGCTGCGCTGCAACAGAATTTGGACCACAAAATCAATAGACACAGACTGAATTATGCATAAACTTCTAAGAATTCTTAGAAGGATTTCTTTAGAAACAGGCTATAGCTCATTAAAAAGTGGCTTATAGTAACATGCACGTACACTTTAAAAAAATAAAACAGTCCAAAATTATATCGGACCTAAAATACTTTGTTAAAATGGTGAGATGTCACTCGTTTTAAAAAACAAATGCCTTCTATGGTTGTAACCAAAAATACCCATACAAGTTGTTAGAATCACTTTATTGATTTTACCAAGTGAAAAAACAATACACAATAGAGTAGTGAAAAGAGCAAAATACTGCAACTGACATTCCACTAACATTTTGTTGCTCCATATGTCAAAGTCCTGTTGCACAGAAGACAATGAACTCCTTCACTGGGATTGTATGTTCCTGGGCTACAGATAACTATATGCAGGGAGAGAAAAAGAACAAAGCAAGATTAAGATGCTATGAATGAATGACTTCTAAAACACTGAATAGATTAGAAATGTTTTTACATTCTTTTTTGACGTATCATCAACTATTTGACAAGACAACAAATTTTTCCAGCATCCTAATATTTGACTGTGATACTGTGTTGGAAAATACATCATATTCTTCTCTTCAGAAAAGCAATTACTGTAGTATGACTGTTTCCTGGTTGATCTACCCACAGGTAAACTGTTTCACTAATGAAACAATGAGCAGTAACCAACAGACTTCAGCATGGCCTATACCTTCTAATGTTGAACTAAATGACTCTTACTCCACCTAGTGGATAAATATAAAAGAATTTAAAACTAAATTTGACTTTTAAGAATCTAATAAAGGGAGAAATGCACAAAGAATGCCTCAAGCAAGAAACTGGCATGGGGTGTGAAAAGATGTTTTGTATAGAAATGCACGTTTCAGTTAATTCAGTGCTATTTTGGGAAATAAGCACACACTTATCTAAGGAGTGACTGTAAATTTTAACCCATGCAGGAAAGACAAGCCCTAACACGGATCACTAGGAGGAAACAAACAGGATCTGAGTCAAGTGGTTGGTTTGGCCATGGCTCTTCTGGCTCTTTTGAACCTCACTGTGTTCTTGTAATAGTAACAGTAACATTTTTAAGGAAAAGGCTGGGTATTAGTGTTCAATCCTTGCTGGAACCTGGATGGCTCCT